GGTGCATGTTACAATAGCTGCGAAAAAGAAAAAAATAATTTAGCATAGTACGAAATAGAAGAGAAGTAAATGAGGGAAAATCGCATAATTTTCTAGATGTGCAATTTTTTCCCAACCAGCATGAAAGGATTAGCCATGTTCACTTCAAGGGGTACAGCGTTTTAAATTTTGGCGCGATGAAACTCGAACAGTCGTTGGTCTTGGGTGTTCCGGGTTACTGGTTGGCTGAAATTTATATTTTTGCGTTCCTTGTGTTGAGATTAGGTGTAATCAATAAACTTGGTGACAACGAACAATTCCCACGTAAAATATTCTTTATCAGAAAGGCTAATTTCATTTCGCATGTCATGGAGAATGGTATGTATACCGAGTTCATTGCAAAGCAAGTTACTATCATCATGCGGTCCTGTGTATGTCATAATGCGCAGGGCACTTTTATGTAACCGGATAATATAATCTAAGTATGTTTTTTATCTACCAGACCACAATTCAGAACAATAAATTGTGTGACAGTGAAATGTCGAAAAGTGAACAATTTTTAGTATGCTAAGATGAAGCCATTCTTTGTATTTTATTAGCAAAAAGTAAGCGAAAGCTAATTTGGTGCAAATATTGGACATGTGTGGCCTGCAGTTCATGTTGCAGTACAATAGTACCCCTAAATACTTTTTGTTCTCTAGTTGTTCCCTTGTTCTACCTGCGTGCTGAATTTGCAAGCATATTGTGTCACTTGACATAACGAGAGTGGAATACTACATAGTTAACACTGAACACAGACTCTTGTCTGTGTTCAGTGTTAACTTATCACATACAAACGAAGCGTACATGCTAGATGGCTCGCCATTTATTGTACTCTGCAATTTGCAGGGGGATTTCCATGAGAATAGTCAGCGTGGTATCATCGGCATAAATATCAAATTTTGATGACTTCGGCGCTTGTGGGAGGTCATTGACGTATAGCGAGAACAGTACGGGCCCCAATACTGATTCTTACGGAACTCCCGCAGCAATAGTGGAATATTGGGAAGCAAATGAACCAATTCCTACGCATTGTTTTTGACCATTTAGGTAGCTTAAAAAAATGGTCACTGTTGCTTCGCTAAAGCGCTACGTTTGCCATCTTTTTAGAAGTATGGAATGACAGACCATGCCGAACGTTTTTTTTTTTCTTAATCGAAAAATATCCCCACGGCAAGCTCGTTCTTGCGTAAAGCTCTGTATATATTCTGGCTTATTTGGAACACTGCTGATGACGTTAATCTATTAGTTCTGAATCTGCGTTGAGATTCTGTTAGGAGCTTGTTTTCGCTTAGGTAGTGCTTCAACTGAGCCGTCATTACCCTCTCAGTATTTAAGATGCTAAGCACAGAGAAAGGCCGATAGCTTCAGGGTTCATTGATATCGCCACTTTTTTATATAGGAGATACTCTTGCTATTTTGAAAATGCCAGGACATATAACTCTGCTTATGGAATGGTTGAGTATTTTTCTGAATATGCCACTAGAACATCCATACTGCCCTTCAATGCCTTCACGGTAATTCTATCATGGCCAGTAGCTTGGTGACAAGGCATACCTGATATATTAGAGATTATGGTATATTCGTCCACTTGATTAAGGAAAAAGCCCCGAATGAATGACCTGGCATTCGAGATGGCTTTCAGTGGCTGGAATACAGTCAGGAAACTTGGGAACGATTACGCATTGGAAGTATCGGTGCATTTTGCGTCAACATGTTCAGGAGTGATCGACTTTTTATTGAGTTATCTATTACTCCTTTTAAAACCTCCCACACTTTTTGATTGCTCTTTGGCTGTTGTGGTAGGAAGGCGTTGTATTCCTTTTTCCGCCTCCGTGGAAGAGCTTTAGTGTACTCAATTTTAAGATACCCAAAATTTTGCAAATCGTAGGTGTTACCTTCCTGCTTCTTTCATTTTTGGTAACACCAATCGTTTTCTTTTATAGCAGAAAGTATGAAGTTATTCATTTTAGGACACATAATCGCTTTGTTTGTGGTGCACTCCGACGTTATCTGTGTTAAAGCAGTTGAAAAGTTTGCGCATTCGACATGAGTGTCACTGTTAAACACATATTAATTTTTTTATTTATCTGCCCCAGTTTTTTATAATTAATCATTCCACTTGCCAAGTGATTATTTTTTGCAAAAGTATGTCTTTGCATAATGTAACAGTGCAAAAAAAGGTAGTGGTCAGTGAGACTCGTATCATATACGCCAGAAAATGTGTCATCACAGTTGCACAAAACATTGGTTGGACCAGTGAATGCAGGTACCTGTAGATAACAAACTCAACGTTCCTAAATTGCTTGTAGAGCTACGAGGTGAATCTGGATGCCAAGGGACTACCTCCAGAATTGTTGTCAGTCTGTGTTGATCAACAGGTTTTCTTTCTTAAGTTGCATACCAATTGATTCTGGCGCCCCCCCCCCCAGGGTCCTGTTCTCGGGCCTCTGCTTTTTCTGGTATTTATAAACTACATTGTTAAAGACGCTTCAACGAATATTAGGTTGCATGCAGACGACTGCCTGTTGTATTAAACTGTGAGTTAGTATATAGAATCAGATGAGGTTAAATTATGATTTTGCGAACATTACTTTTCTCATGAGCAGCGCCAAATGCCCTTCAATTTAGCAGTCATGTTTTCATGAGTCACTAACAAAAAGAAACCATTCCCTTTACATATTCTACTGGTGACCAAGTTCTTACCGAGGTCGAACACTATGAATAATTAGGAGTGCTAATTACGAATAAACTCTCCGGGAACAGACACAGAGATAATGCTGTAGCCAGTGCCTTGAAAAAGTTGTTCGTTTTAGGGTGGACACTCAAGCTAGCTACCCGTGAAGTACGTTAGCTCCCCTACAAATCAATTATCTGTCCTACGTTAGAGCACGCCATGGTATTTGGGACCCCTTCACTGAATCGGTCATCGAAAAATTTACAAGAATACAAAAAATTCCAGCATATCCATGGAGTGAATGATGATGAGTGTAGCAAAGCGTCCGTCCACCTGTCTGTCCATGCGTCCATGCGTCCGTGCCTCTGTCTGTGTGTCTTGTCTACCCGTCCGTGCGTCCAGATAGGACGGACTGATATAGGCACGGACGGACCAAAGCAAGTACTAACGGATGGATGGAAGCACGGAAAGATGGATGGACTGACGCATGTGTGGATGGACGGAAGCATGGATGGTTGAACGCACGGATGGATGGATGGACGGATACCTCACCCGCTTATCATCATTCACTCCATGGATATGCTGTGAAAACTACAAACACCATCTAGTTATATTATTCCCAAGGACATATACGCACATTGCCATCTATTGAGCAAGCCATATACTAGAGGTGGCAACGTACTACATACGGAAGAAAGAACGACACATGGCCTAAGGAGCTTCACCCCTAAAATGGATCTCAAATTCAATCACAACTCATTTGGTCATAGCTCTGTTAGTTAATTGATAAAAAAGTAATTTGCCTCCTGGGTACTGAGAGTAACTACGTCTGTAGATAGATTTTTTATCAGTTGGTCATCAAGTCATTTTTTATTGGTTGGTCATCAATCAGTCACTACAAAACTAGCACATCACACACCTTGATTCTATCTGCAAGTTACGCAACTTGATCCTGGCATTCAAAACAGCTAAGCCTTTATTGCAAAGAGTCCATTCTTTTAAGTGTGTTTGTTCGTTTCTTGTACTGTAAAGAATTTTAATTACCTGTCTGACGAGGCTGTAATCCAAAAAGCTTTCGTATAGTTTGAAAAATGTTTGATTTAAAGTGTTCTATAACTTGTTCTGACTGCTTTGCCATTGTTTTGTTGTTTTCACCCAAATGTGTGTTTTTATGTTTTTGTACAGCCGGCTAGAGTCTAAGTGAGACCACAGTGTTTATAAATAAGTAAATAAATAAATAAACACATAAATAAATGCGAAGACCCGTACATCCTTTCTGGGCTCCAGGGCACTGTGGTCTTTAAACTGCTTTGAGGTATCCAGAGCTCTGTATAGTGGAGTATACAGCTGCAACAATCGGTCGCTTTCAGAAACGTGGTGCTGTGCCTCTCATGGAGCACTAGGCAAACTCTATAAACGCGACAAAATCAGGCAAGTCGCACGGCTCTCGGCGCGCCGCGATGCATGTCAAATGAAGCAGTGTAGGTAGATGTTGTGTGGTCTTCCCGTTTGGGTGGCGCACAAAACACCAAAGGGTCCCCAGAAGAGAGCTCCAAAGGGATAGCTTTTATTTCTTAGCTTTATTTCAGTTCCTGTTAAAAGTCCGGGCTATGGCTGTTGATTGCCCAATTCAAAGTGCAGAGCCTCAGTTATCATCGTCATCACCTTCAGTATCGTGACAGAACAAGCAGCCTGCTGTGCGAGCATCCGCATTCCAGCGAAAGACTTTGTTGCTTGTTCTGAAGCTACGTGATATCGATACTATGGTTATTTTTCTTCAGTTAAACACTGAAATCTGAACGACTTGCAGCGGTTTAACCTTGGGTAGAAGACGGCAGCTCAGCTACGCGCAACGCATTACGCCACGAACGTGCCATAGCTAAATGGCGGTCGCCGGTGGTAGGCGGTGTTTATTGCCGGCGACTTTTCTTGCCTTGCACTGCAATAACATTGCACTTTTTATATATTTAAAGGCAGAAGATACCATCTGCTTCTATTTTTCGCTGAATTCACAAATTCTTGGGTGACCCTGTCCAGACCCCTTTTAGTTTCCTGTGGAAATTCATGAGCACCATATATTTTAGGGACCATACATGGGCACCACTCGGACTCACTCATGAAGTACGCATTGAGCTTAAAGCCCACTCGTATTCAGACTCACCAGCCTTTTTCTGATACACGCACTCTGACTCGCTCAGAGTCTCCGACTCGTGCACCCCAAAATAGTATTGTACCGTACTCGCTCAGGATCATAATCATGGCTTGATACGAGTCTGAGTGAGTGGACCCACGAATGCGTGCATACCTTGGAGGTGGAGACGTCGAAGATTCCCGCCATGGTGAGCAGGCGCGGCCCAATCCAGTGTCCGTTGTGCATGAGCTGGTGGGCATCGGTCACGTGGTCCCACTCACGCTTCATCATGTCGACGCCCCGGGGCTGCTTGAAATACACGTAGTACGGCTGCTTGTCGCCGTTCTCCTCCGTCTTCCACTCAAAAAAGCTGCGGGCGGAAAGAATGACAATCGGCCCTCTTTCTAACAACGATTGCTAACAACGATTGTAATCCGCTTTGTGTTTAGGGTGCGTTAGGTGTCGTTGTCTTCACAGAACGGAAGAAGAAAATGCGCCAACAAGCCAAAGTTCCACCAACAGCAAAACCTACTACAATGTTGTTAGCTGCCTGACATTTGAGTGCACGGACTTAATCTATTTCAGCTCTATAGTCAGATACAAGTCAATAAACAACTTAATAAGCAAGTAGATCGGGATATAGTTGGTACAGATCCATCTTCATAAGAAACGAAAAACTACACAAAGGGACAACAACTACCCGAAGGGACAACATGTTGTTTGTGTAGTGTCTTTCTTTCTTGTTCTCCAATAGTTTAGTTTGCCACTTCCTTCGAAGATGCGACTTAAGTCCGGAAAAGCCCCGCATAGGGTACCGAAGTGCGGCAGCCCGACGCATCCGCGACTGAAGAAATAGTCCCCCTCGTGAGCGCAGTAACGTTCTCCGAAAGCGGGGACACCGCCCGTACGACTCGTGGCACACACTGCGTCCCTTCTGTGCTGGCCGATGGGAGCACAAATGTGTGCATCCGCCTTTGGGGAGGTAATGCCACGGACTTCTAAAGTTGCATCCAACTAGAGATCTTTCTGTATGATAATAACCTTGTACGAGTTTAGTTATAGTTCATGACTGCCAAATTAAGGCGCAAAACAGTTGACTGGCATGAATCCGACTATAGATATTACAGTATATTAATAACAATATACGAGTTTAATTATAGTTCACGAGTGCCGAATCAATGCGTGGAATAACTGGCCGGCACGAATCCTTCTATATATATTACAGTATATTATTAACAATATACGAGTTTAGGTATAGCTAATGCTGCCGAATGAAGGTGCGAAATACCTGACTGGCCCAAACCTTCTTCCTCAACTATGTACCATAGGGTACATCTGAATGGTCAAAACGGTAAGCGTGGCATGGGAACAAATGAGGTACTAAGTGAGCAGACACCCAAGATTATGTTCTCGGCCTTTGTTTAATTTACATTTGAATGTCTTATGAAGAAATGCATGGTCAGGCCTCCGAAATTATAGACAGTCGCTGATATTTAGCCACTGAAACTAAAGCAGTGTTTTCCAAACAGTTCCTTTGTCAGTCACGCCACCATAAAATAGTCGGTGATAAGAGTCACAGTTTAAACAAAGAATAGTAGTGTGACTGGGACCCTCTCATGTACTTTTCCTTTTTCGGACGGCGGAAAAGATTGACGCTTCAGTAAAATATGACACGCGGAAAACATGTGGTACTGATGAAGTCAGGCTTCCTTGAAAAAAAAAACGTTTGTTGCAGTGACGTTTCATGTGATCAGCCATGAACCAATGCAAAGTCTCAAAAAAGCTTTTGATTCTCGAAAGTACTCTGAAAAATAATATTACTGAAATCTTTTTTTTCTGATATCTATCCGAGCATTGAGTCTATACCATACTCAACCTACGCTGTCACACTTCATTCCAATACGGCCACGTTAACAATACGAGAATTGGTTTCCGTTGAAAGTTCACACTTCAAATCAAAATTTGAAGCCCATACCTTAGACTATAAACATAGGTGAATAAATGTGTTTGTATGCCCAATGTCACCAAGGCATCGCAGCTGGAGGCATTTCCAGCTCGAAGAGAACGCTTGATCACCCCTTGCGAACTTCATGCGCCACGCACGACATTTGACTGAAATGTTCGCAGCTCCATCTTCTATCTGCTAAGTGTACTTTTTCGCATTATGCCAGATGTCGAATGACTTACGGCCCTTAAATGTGTCGATCAAGAAAGGCAGGACCATTTATCGCACTGCGACCGTGTCCGTGGTCGCGCGACAAATGTACGTGGCTAAATAATTTGTTTTTGGGTTGGGGCAAGTTGGTTCCTTAATTAGAAAAATATATAATTACAGCGGAAGTACACGGCCCAATAAACACGCACAGAAAGTAGCCATCAAGCACGTGCCACCCCCCCACTCCAAATTTTTTTCGCCTTAGGATAGTGAGCGAAAAATGACCATTTCGAAAAGGTTCCACCCCCCCCCCCCCCGAAAAGAATTTCTTGCTATGACTCTGCACACGCACACACCCAGCCGTATTTTATTGGCTGGTTGCGTGTGATTGTGCCACGTGTTTTCACTCTAATTATTTGTTACCCGCAGGGCGCGGGTTCGAATCCCGGCTGCGGCGGCTGCATTTCCGATGGAGGCGGAAATGTTGTAGGCCCGTGTGCTCAGATTTTGGTGCACGTTAAAGAACCCCAGGTGGTCTAAATTTCCGGAGCCCTCCACTACGGCGTCTCTCATAATCATATAGTGGTTTTGGGACGTTAAACCCCACATATCAATCAATCGAATCTAATTATTTGTTTAGGCAGAGGTGGTTATGCGAGAAGTATAGGCACAGCCATGCAACCCCCGTCTTTGGCCGAGTCTAGAAGACATGCTCAGCAATATTTTAAACAGTTCTTGGAATTGCATATCAGGTGTTTTCGGCCACCATTATTGCCCGAAATCTGCATGGCCTTAAAACTTTTTTTTTAACAATGACGGAACAGGTTCCGACTAAAAATACAGGGCAGACTTCAACCTTTCCCCTCCTCCACACTCCACAGTAAGTGGAAAGGGGGTACTCTTTCTTGAGATTTAGCCTACTAACTAAAAGGGCACCATGCAATGGCCAAAAAAAAAAAACTCCCAAGCATTTCCCCGAGGGTGAACATGATTAAGTGCGAATACACGGGGTGATGCTATGAGGGGTATTTATTAATTCACACTATTATATTTATTAATCACACTATGGTGCCTTTATGGCGTAATGATTCCTGGGAATCGCAATTTGATCACACGGGGGAGTTTACGTTAACTCACTGGCGAATGCCAACAGATTTTAACTTTACTCCCCCTCATGACCCGCTCTCGACGGGAGACTGAGAGAGAAGGCGGGCGCGCGAGAGAGAGGGGTGCGCGCGCAGCTGCAGCGAGCGAGGAGAGCGGAGGAGTGAGGGAAGGGGGAGGGGGTATAAGACGCGTTACTGACATCGATATCAGCGTCGCGTCCGTGGCTTATTCGGTAGAGCGTCGCGCTGCGGCCCGCCAAGTCCTCTTTCTTTTGAAGATATAGAGAAGACTGCGGACGCCGCCGACGGCGGTGGATGGTTTGGGGTCACTTATAAAGTGTATTCACACTTAATAGCGTTAGTTTGCTTGTACTTAGAAGTCCAATTTTGATGACATCAGCTTCTACTGTTGCGAATAAAGAAAGCAAGGTGAGATTGTGAACAACCGCAAGAACAGGTTTCAAGACTAACCTTTCACAAAATTTCTGGAGCTCTCCACTACAGCGTCTTTCGCCATCATATTCTGTTTTTGTTAATCATTCATAGCTTGAAGCGCACGCGCACTCGGGCCTTTTTAGTCTAAGGACGCGGTTGCCTCTTGATGATAAATTTGATTGTCGTGCAAGTCAGCACGACAACCCAATTTCGATCCGTCTTATCGCAAAGATATACATCATAACCCCCTCCCCCAATAAATGAAGACACTCATTCCATACTGACTCAGCCCCCTCATCTCTTACAGACTCATACGCTCACCTTAGTGTTCTGGTCTACCCCCCCCCCCCCCCCTGAAAAAAAAACATAAATCCTTGATAAGCCCCCCGCAGTGTACCTGCGTATATCGTGTACGCACCCTTCGGCGACGACCACGCAGCGTCTCTCGGCGGCGATGGCGCCCTTGAAGCTGCGCCGGTCCATGCAGCTCTCGAGGCGGCAGTTGACCGTGTTGAAGATGAAGTTCTGCGGCTCACCCGAGAACCACGAAGGGACGAGTCCCCAGCGCATGGGGCTCATCATGATCCGGTGGCCCGTACGGCCCCTGGCCCCCTTGGGCACGTGAACGCTGCTCAGCATCACTGGGCTGGGGCGGCGGCGACACGTAAAAATGATGAAGCACTTATTGGAGCATAACATACCTTGCCCTCAAGCAGTGATCATCACACGTCTTCAGTACCTTTGACGTCGAATGGCCGGCACACGTACGGTCATGCATCGTGGCACTGGGTTGCCGCCTGTCTGGTTTTAGATCGGCTCAGCCGGTTTTTAGACAGCGGTATTTATCGGGGAAGTCGTGGGCGCAGGGTTTGCAAAGATAGATATATACGCACATAAGGCAGGTAGGCGACAATTATTCTTGCTAAATAGCATAAGCTTAGAGGGGTGGAAAGATGTCTTGAGTATACCGCCAGGGTAACAGGAATGCCGCGGGATAGAATCCCGTCCGCGGCGGCCACACTTTTGATAGAGATGCGCTAAGGGCCCGTGAACATAGAACATATTTTAATTATGCGGATAATTCAATATTCCTTGTATCTTGTTTTTTTTTAACCAATAATGTAAGGAATCCCGTATGTCAGTTGGAATGTTATTGTTTGTTCTTCATGAATGTATACTACCTGCAATGTGCCCTCTGTAATGACTCCAACATTGGAGTCGACAGTATTGCAAATAAATAAATAAATAAATAAATAAATAAATAAATAAATAAAAATAAGAGTGCATTTAGAAGAACACCGGATGGTCGAAACTTTCAATGCCCTCCACTACAGCGTCGGTCATAATTATATCATAATTTTACGAAATAAAACCCAACAATTGTTATAAATGTATTTCAATTACGCACGCGCCCTAAAAAAGTGCCCTTGGGACGTCTCTGCATACGCGTGCAACAGTATAGTCCGTCTTGCTTATAGTGACAGCGTTTTCTTTTTATAGAAAACTGTGTGGTTGCTACAATACTATCAACAGCGCTATGCCAAGGTGAAGGTCTCGAGAAGTTCGTGGCCGGGAAGTTATAACGCAGGAAAGCACCCTTGATAGATGATTATTCTTGTGGCAAAAGCACACGCCAGGTATCCCCCGTGTTTAGGAACACTACTCTAGGGGATAATTTGGCTATTCACTATGATTAGGACATCTTGCAGATATATAGGTGTGACGTGAATGTCTAATCTTCGTCCATACATTGCTTTCTGGACATTATGACGCCTACTTCATCTCTTAAGGACGGTAGCTTTGTGAATGCAGTAGTGAAACGAGTGTTAGCGCACATGTTGGATTCGCTGTGAATGATTGCATATGACAAGTAATTTTGCGGCGAATACTCTTCAGTAACACCAAGTTTAAAGAATCCCGTGCACTGACTATCGCCATGCATGCAAATTCAGTGGAAACGTTGGCATTTCCTAAAGCCTAACCCCGCAGTAAATAGGAGAGTTATGTAATCATACGAGTTACCCGAACAAGACGACGCTAATCACGAGTGCGAAATTTCCAAGAAACCACAGGGAAGTGGATCTTGTACACGGATGCATCTCCGTCTCATACCGGCGAGGGCTTTCGAACGGAAATAGCTTCTTCCAATGGACTACCACTGCTATGGGGCTTTGATTACAACATCATTCATTGCCGAAACCATGGCCATATAGTAGAAGCAGTTACCATACCCAACCCAAATGTCCGCAATTTACTTATACGCCCCACCGCGGTGTTGTAGTGGCTAAGGTACTCGGCTGCTGACCCGCAGGTTATTGGATCGAATCCCGGCTGTGACGGCTGCGGTTCCGATGGAGGCGGAAATGCTGTACGTTCGTGTGCTCAGATTTGGGTGCACGTTAAAGAACCCTAGGTGGTAAAATTTTCCGGAGCCCTCCACTATGGCGTCTCTCATAATCATATGGTAGTTTTGAGATGTTAAACCCCACATGTCAGTCAAATCAGTTTACTGATATGCACAGATAGCCAAGCAGCCTGTCGAGCTCTCGTAACCGGTGATATTACACGCATTACAGTAACACATATTACAACAAACTTACGAAGCATTTAGCTCACCAGCCATCGTTATGTGTTCGTATACAGTGCATACCTGGTCTCTTGAGAGGTCAAAGGGAATGAAGTGGCACATGCCATATCCTGCGTAAATCTCCCCGGCCCTCCTTTGTGGTGGCCGGATTCACTGAAGCGCACCGAATTACTTGCTATGGCACGTTTAGACAGGCATGAACGTTTAGATGAGATGCACAACAATCGCAGGGCTTATCTCAGTCCTTCTCACTCCATAACGAGACGCGAGGCAGCCCTGATAAGGCGAGCCCAAACTCACTCTTTAATTGCACCACACTTTCAGAAATACATACAAAGCAAGTACGGGTCTCCTGCTTGCATGGCCTGCGGTGGCTTACCGGGCAACGCTTACGTTCTGTGGGACTGTCCGGGTGGTCGTGCAGCCATGGGCGAGAGCCTCAAGCACATACCTATAAACCTAAGAGCTGTGACCCTGCAGGAGTGGCTGGCAGACTCTTCTCTGGACGTCATTAAGACAAAGCTACAGCATTTCCAACTTCCAGGCCTGTCTGATGAATAAGCATTTCTTTAGTGGACCTGGACTGGGGTTCGTTTATTTTTAACAAAGTTGTTCTCTCTCTCATATGAGTTGGGAAACACCCCATCGGCACACGTCCTTGGCTTTGTTGTGGGGATGGATGGATGGACTCTATGAGCGCACCATGAGCGTGGCGTGTAGTCATGACTAGTCATACCATGAAAATTATTACATGCATTTCATGATTTCTACGTTGGGGTCTGTCACTCATGTTGGTCATGCAGTCATCTCATACCATACCAATTTTGTGAAATGTCATGTGCACGAAACCAACACAAGAGCAGCAAAATTATGAAATTTTAATCATGACATTCATGACATACGTGTCATGATTTTCATGGTATGACTAGTCCATTATTTTTGTCACAGATTCATGTTGTGCCATACCAATTTTGGTATTGATATCATCATCGAGACGGCCAGGAGAGCAAGAAGTCGTAGACAGACAGACAGACAGACAGACAGACAGACAGACAGACAGACAGACAGACAGACAGACAGACAGACAGACAGATAGATAGATAGATAGATAGATAGATAGATAGATAGATAGATAGATAGATAGATAGATAGATAGATAGATAGATAGATAGATAGATAGATAGATAGACGGACGGACGGACGGACGGACGGACGGACGGGCGGACGGACAGACAGACAGACAGACAGACAGACAGACAGACAGATAGACAGAAAGATAGATAGATAGATAGATAGATAGATAGATAGATAGATAGATAGATAGATAGATAGATAGATAGATAGATAGATAGATAGATAGATAGATAGATAGATAGATAGATAGATAGATAGATAGATAGATAGACAGACAGACAGACAGACAGACAGACAGACAGACAGACAGACAGACAGACAGACAGACAGACAGACAGACAGACAGACAGACAGACAGACAGACTAGATAGATAGATAGATAGATAGATAGATAGATAGATAGATAGATAGATAGATAGATAGATAGATAGATAGATAGATAGATAGATAGATAGATAGATAGATAGATAGATAGATAGATAGATAGATACATAGATAGATAGATAGATAGATAGATAGATAGATAGATAGATAGATAGATAGATAGATAGATAGATAGATAGATAGATAGATAGATAGATAGATAGATAGATAGATAGATACGCTCAATGTACCCGAAGTTCGCTAAGAAATGGTTCGCATATAACATGGTCGATACATCTCTCATAGAAATGAATTTTCCGAAAATTCCTTCCGTTTATTGCTCACGAGTCCGGGTCTCATAGAACAAACAACTCAAGGCTGTCGAAAACGCCCACGATGTGGCGGTGAAGCTAGGCCTCCTTGTCCCTACGGGGGAGCAGCCCGCGATCCTACCCCTATAAAACAGGGGTGGAATCTTTCTGGACCCCAATAAAGTTTTTCATCCATCCATCCATCTGTCCCGGATGGCGTGACAGTCTTCTAACTTCCAAAATATCTGGCCAACTGCGTGTCAGGGTTTCGGAAAGCGATTTCGTAAAGAGTATGATTGAATAACACTGGTAGATAGTGCATGCAGCTCCAGCTTGAAGCATGTAGCAAGATCACAAAATCATGACCATATGAATTAAAGAGCGCAGCCGAAAAGAGTTGCTTTTTAGTATCATGACTCATCAACAATTAAGCTCGTCAGTTGTCGTAAGGTCAGTTCCGTAAATCTTTCATTTCCAGTATAGCTTTGTTGTCAGAGAGCTCCCTAAAATGGAATTGAATATACTGATATTATTATTACTATATTTGCACTGATCGTCCTTAGGGAGTGAGGAAATATCGATGCACTTAACCTAATGTGAGCATCGGTCCTTCAGAAAATGCCTGGATATATTACTGTACCATCGTTTATACGCCATGCGTGCAGCTCATATATAGTTCCCACTAAATATTCGATAAGTAGGAATCTCTCTGCCACTGTAGGCACTCTAACTCAATCAAGTCATCAAACTGCACCGCCATGGTGGGACAGTGGTTACAGCGCTGGGTGGCTAATTCGAAAGATGTGGGTTCGATCGTGGTCATGGCGGTCATGGGCAAAAGTGTTAGATTCCCGTGTGCATGTGTAGTAATCCTAGGTGGTTCAAATTTTTGAAGCCCCCCATGACAGCAACTCCCGTAATCACGTTGTGGTCATGGCACGCAAAATCCCATAAAAGGAACAGTCGTCGGTCATCCGACAGTCATTTACGCATGCCGTACGTGAAAGCAATGCATCACTGTGTACTCACTGGTAGTTCCTGGGAGAGATGTTGTACGATGGCCGGTACTCCCCATGGCTGTTCAAGTCCACCCACTTGGGGTTGCAGAAGCGACCGGTATCGTCCTGGTACTGGCAGGCGTGCAACAGCGACGCCTTGTTCAAGGCGCTGTCAGGGAGAGTCGTAGGAGTATGCATCCCATTGCGAACGTTCATTTATATATGCTAACTTCGAAACTAGAATGCGCTAGTAAAACCAGTGCACCCACAAAAGAAACAAAAGACCGGTAAATAATTACATGTCGGATATGCTGTATACAACCCAAGTGCGATTCGTTCTCGAAGGTTTTTTTTTGTTGGACAGGACTATAAGAGGCGACAGTGAGCTGTGCAACAATCATGGATGATAGTCAAAAAGTCTCTGAATATGATGGTGTCACTAAAGTCATCATTGCGACAAGTGGCCTTGTAAAGTCCAGGTTGCTGCTTTGACGAAGACAGCACCACTTTCCGAACGATGGCTTCAGTGACAATCTCTCGTTCACAGATTTTCCCTTCATCAACCTTTAAACTTCCCCTGAAAGTCTGTCTTGTTTAGTTATTAACCTGTATGAAGTATTTACTGTAGGCCCTCATTTCTCTTTCCCACCGTAGATTAAGAAATAATTAAGAATGTGGGAAAGGAAGGGAAACTAAAGCATATCTTGACACTTGGTTTGCTGCTCTGCACTGGCAGAGGTGGAAAAGAAAAACGGTGCAAGAAACTAGAGCGCAAGGACGAGTGCCCACATAGGATCATTAATTCAAGAAAAAGGAAGGCGTCACCGCATATAGCCATGCAGCCATCCTCTGCTCCAAAAGCTTTCAGTTTACTGGCCTGCCATTTGTTATACTTCGTGTGCACATATAACGCTGCTACCTAAGGCAGCACCTATAGTGCAGGCAGCCGGCCTATTATCTCGAAAAATTTGCCGGCAGTTTTTTCCTTATTGGCTGCCCACGACTATGTGACTTATCTGCCGCCCACTTCTCGTGAGCCTGTGATGCCGGCGATATATGTGCCGGCAGCTGGCATTGTACACCAGAAACCAGCATCTTATTAGCGCCCTATTGTATTTTTAGCTCTTAAGCCGCCACTTAGCTATTTTTGCTCTCCGGTACTTATCAACACTGATGACCATTGTCAAGGACCTGAGCTTTTCATCTGTTGGCCAAGGTAATTCAATGGAGTCGACTTGTCTTGGCCTCTAAGCATTTGCCAACGTAGCCGCTAGCAGTTGCGTGAAAACTTCGAGTACGTTGTGTTTGTGACGTGAATGACGTGACCCTAACAAAACCTGGTTACTTGCAGCCCTCGTATAAGAAAAGTACTGCCGGCATTCGGCCGATCGATATAACCTTCCGGAAGCCGGCAATATAGGCACTACCGCCATCTAAACATTGGTTTGCTTCCATACGTCATAAAGTCTCCTTCCGCACACATACTCACGTGAGGCACATAAATCTGCGTATACTACACACTTGGATAGCTCGTATGGCATATCCAGCCTTTACACACTTCTGTGGAGCGCCTGTAAATGTTCTACTGGCTCAATGAAGACGCTACAACGCATCTACAATAACAATCAAAGCCACCGGTACCAATACGGCTACGGAGCGGACCTACCATGCCATGCGTCCGCACATGGTGAATGTGTGGCGACCTGGCTGAGCCCGAAGCTCCTCGTCCCTCGCAGGAACCCGTCGGCCAGCGGATCAGGTAAAATTTTGGGACGAGAAACAAGACGCGCCAATCAAGCCATCGCCATCAGCCCGAGGAAAACACATCCTCATCGTCTTCGTCGACCTTTCATCAGTTTCATGTCTCCAACGTGAAGCTTATTTTAATTTTTACCGCAATCAATAGAGCACCTGTTCTTCAGGCGCGTGCATTCAATTCGCTTCGTAAGCAGATCGAAGCAATGTACGCCAAGGTTGTGGAACTAAGCTCCTACTCATTCGGCTGATTAGCTTCTGTTCATTCATGGTGCCCATTGGCTGAAAAACATTTGGTAGATCTAATGATAAATAATGTGGTAAATATTGTGTCTAACGGATGCATTGTTCGAGAATTTCTGTTGTCGTAGACGTCTATTCCACTCTCACTTGTACATGGTCATGCCACACGGTATGTTGGCTAAAAACGCCTTGACAAGATCATGCTCAGCATTTTTTAGACGTTTTAAGAACGTTATTGACAGGTGGAGGGGCCGCTTTCCTATAGTCAACTACGAGAGAGAGGGGAAGGGGGACGCTAACTCCGCCCATAATAAGGAGGAGAGTGCTGCTCCTTCGTTCCCATAGTGTTTCCTATGAATACACCCGAGAGAACTATGGCGCTAGTGTCTATGGAGCTGCAACGCACGGCGCTTCAGCGAGCCGGGCAGTACACGAATTTCTCCAAGCTTCCTTCTACTGGCTGCGTTTGGCTTTGCGTGGCTTGAAGCTGCTTTGTCACGATACGGGGATCAGCATTTGTTCTGCAGTTGCGCTTCACCACATTAACATTTTATGCTCATGAGTTCAAATTGGGTCAGGAAGTTCACAGCGGCCTGTTTTTTTTTTCGAAACACAACCAAAACAAAATCTTAAACAAAGCCCCAAGTGTGTTCAAAGCCGGAATGCACGGAAACTCGGGCAAATTTGTCTACTACCCATCATTTCCACGGTTGCTGAATGATCGCAGAGCCAGAATTCCCTGTAGTTAATTTTGAAAAAAACTATGTCCAAACCTATTCAGGTATATTCCAATGTACCTTGAAAGTCCGATGGACATCTAATTTTGACATACGAATGTCCAAAGCAGATACGCAGAAATCCGCGGTCGTCCATTGGACCATTCTGCGCGGGAAAATTGGTGATCCGTCGAGTGTCCGATTAGTACCAGTTAACCGTGCATTCGTACACAGGACAGACGTGCAGTTAGACCTTTCAGTACGTGCACTGAACGTACCAAGGAATATTGTTGAAATTAACGGGCCGTCGTCGGACATGCATTGTCTTATGGGTCTTCAAAATTGACAAATTTAACTCCAGGCACCCCAAGCGTCTTGCGTATGCGAGCCTTTGTGTTCTTTTGCATTCTCCATAGTTGCATCGGTGAGTGCAAAAGAACGCATCGCGAGAGCGTGCGCACGAAGGCAACTTGAAATACGCGCCACTAAAACTCTCTACTGGAACCTTCGTTCATGCTATCCATGTCATGCGCTGTTGGTCTAGCGCTACGTACGACTACGAACAGGACATTTACGTTAGCGTCGACCTATTGTGTGGCAAGAGCGAACATTTTATTAAACGGGAAGTATTTCTTAGCGAACTTCGGCGACATTGAGCGCATCTATCTATCTATCTATCTATCTATCTATCTATCTATCTATCTATCTATCTATCTATCTATCTATCTATCTATCTATCTATCTATCTATCTATCTATCTATCTATTTATCTATCTATCTGTCTGTCTGTCTGTCTGTCTGTCTGTCTGTCTGTCTGTCTGTCTGTCTGTCTGTCTGTCTGTCTGTCTGTCTGTCTGTCTGTCTGTCTGTCTGTCTGTCAAGCCGCTTACGACTTTTAGCTCTCCTGTCCGTTTCAATAATGGTATTGATACCAAACTTGGTATGGCATAACATGACTGTATGAAGAATATATATGACTAGTCATAACATGAAAATCATGACATGTATCCTATGAAAGTCATGATTCACGTTTCATCACCTTGCAGCTCTCACGGTGGTTGCGTTCACATCACATGTTGCAAAACTGGTATGGTATGACATGACTGCATCGAGAACGCAAGAGACCGACCTTAATGAAGAAATCATGACATGCATGTCATGTAAGTCACGAATCATGACTACACGCCACGCTTAAGGTGCGCTCGCGGTCGTTTCGCTAGCTTCACTTATGCCAAATTAGGTATTACGAGACGTGAATGGATTACGAAGGTGTGTGACTGGTGCGAACATGATAATCATGAGATGCGTGTCATGTAAGAACATTACTACCTGCCTCACTCAAGGCACGAATACACTTCGACGGGGCCAGGCACGCGCGCGCCGGCGTTCGTTTCGTCGATCGCGTCACAACGGCGATACCATGCCAGGCGCCAATCTGCCTGCTATATACTCGCAGGCGTTTCTATGTCTCGAAGAGAGGCAGACACAGTGCTTTCAGGGTAACGTCATCGGCGCGAAATACACTGTGTCGCACTTCGCGCAGGTTGCCGCCTGGCCGCGCCGACGAACGAAGGTCACGCCGGTCGCGCCTGGCATCAGATTATAAAGTGCTCGCGTTGCTAGCGCAGCGCTGCTGTGCCCAGCGTGCACACTCACCAACGTTCCTTTGGAGTGTATTGGGCTATTTATGATGCGCTTGAGGCCATTTCGCTAGCTCCACATATACTTATATTAGTATCAGGTGACGTGAATAGATGACAAAGATAAATGACACGTTCAAACATGATAATCATGACAAGAAAGTAATGTACGACCTAATTTACCTCCACCTCATAACGTTGTGCTCATTTTGAAGTAACATATCAACCTTCCACATCTTGGTTCGCATATCATAGATTCCCACTGTACGTGGGATCTGTCAGTTTTTATAGCACGCAGACAAGATCGGGCTCTTCATAAACACCTTAATGAATTAAGAGTAGGCAGGGTGGCAGTTGCCCCCTTGAAATTTCAAATGCGCAAAATTTATAGTCACATCATCAACATCATTATCATCATCATCATCATCATCATTGTCATCATCATCAGCCTGACTACGCCTACTGCAGGACAACGATTAATACTTTATAAGACGACTCAATTATAGGCTGATCCCCCACAGTGGGCATGAGCCACAAGTGAAAGGCATAAGAACAATAACAAGAACAAAGGCCACATCCTTGATCAGCCAATCAACCAGTTCCTGTGCTTTCTGACGCCCCGCTGCGGTGGTCTAGTGGCTATGGTACTCGGCTGCTGACCCGCAGGTCGCGGGATCGAATCCCGGCTGCGGCGGCTGCATTTCCGATGGAGGCGGAAATGTTGTAGGCCCGTGTGCTCAGATTCGGGTGCACGTTAAAGAATCCCAGGTGGTCGAAATTTCCGGATCCTTCCACTACGGCGTCTATCATAATCATAGCGTGGTTTTGGGACGTTAAACGCCAC